CACACACACACACACTCTCTCTCACACACACACACTCACACTCTCTCTCTCTTACACACACACACACACTCTGACACACTCTCTCTCTCTCACACACACACACACACACACACACACACACGCCCACACACACTGACACTCTCTCTCACACATGTCTGGTTTGCTATTCTTGTAGGGACTCTCCATAGGCGTAATGATTTTTCTACTGTACAGATCGTATATTCTATTGCCCTACACCAACCCTACCCCTAAACCTACCCCTCACAGGAAACTTTCTGCATTTTTAGATTTTCAAAAAACGTAATTCTGTGTGATTTATTAGCTTGTTTACCCGTGGGGACCTCAATTTAGGTCCCCACCGTGACACAAGTCCCCATGAGTCTGTGTGTATTCAGGTTTAAGTCTCCACCAGAATAGAAAAACAGGTACACTCACTCACACACACACACACACACTCTCTCTCTCTCACAGACACACACACAAGTACTGCAGCAGTTCATTCTCTATTGGATTCATTTAGAAGGTCTGATGAAAAACTCCCATTTCACTGCCAAATCAGACATTTCCAAGTAAAATACTAAATAAGAAATTAAAAAGAATGACTAACTGCTATTTGTGTAGGCTACTGGTGGTTAACATTAAACTGAAGTCAGGCGGAGAGAACGGTCGTTTCAAAGGTGCTGCAAGTTATTACATTTTGATGAAAGATATCGAAGACAAACACTTAAGTGTCTTCAGAACCTCATCAGTGAATTATTCGCTCACGGGAGCGTGTATTAAGACAGTAAACAGAGTCAGTTTAGATTTGATGTTGACTTGTGCACTGATTTGTTTATCGTGATTCTTCAGCGTGTTCACCGACTTGACAAAGACAAACCCAAACGAGCTGTTTTATATTCACAGACCGTCGGTGAAAAGCTGCGGCTGACGGCGCATTCAACTTTATCAGTAAGTTGTGCAGCACCTGAATAATTGATTTCTTTGTGTTGTGACAGTGACAAAGGTCTGAGACTCGCCGCGTGGATCAGTAATTAACAAAAGCACTTAATTAAAGCAAGAAAGAAAAAAAAACACTGTGACCACGAGTGTGTTCATGATAAAACACACACACACACACGGTTACTTCACTAGATTAGTCAAGACATCTCAGAGACTTCCACTGTCTTTACATCAGCTTTTGATTTATCACCAAATCTAACACTTTACAATAAGGCATTAGTCAACGTGAACTAACATTAAGATTATTATTTATAAAATTATTGTTAAAATTACTTCATTACATATAAATTAGTATTTTAGTATAAATAATTTACAATTTAACTTCATTGTAAAGTGTTACCAGTCATTTTAATGATTAAAATAGAGAAGAAAAAAACTACTTGGAAAAAAAGCTAATATAAAAAGTATATGAAAAACATAACTAAAAATAATTATTTTTAAGGGGTAATACACACATAGGCAATAGATTATTAATACATTTTCAATCTATCCATCTATCTCTCAAATAATAAAAATATGAATAATTATATTAATAGTATAGTCAAAATTGAAACAAATTAACTTATAAATGCATACTTAATATAAATGTATTAAA